ACACTTTTTCCCGTGCCCACAGAATCTGATGGGATAATGCTACTCGAAAATTTCTTTTTAATAATCACCCTTAAATTTTAAATGCTTTCTAGTCGTGTTAATCATTTCTTTCTAGCTAAAATAGTAGAGCTAAAATTCAGGGGCGCACTGGTTATGTCGCCGAATGTCGCCGAATGTCGCCGAATGTCGCTGAATGTCGCCGAATGTCGCCGAATGTCGCCACTTATTTTCGAAAAATAGGAATTATGAAAGAAAAATTGTTTTTTGGCTCAAATATTCAAAACAAACTTGTTCTAGAACCGTAAAAGGCGGGAATAGTAGGAGGCGCGGCAATAGAAGTGTGTCCAGCCCGACCAGTGAGTTTCCTACCACAAATTGCGCGGAGCGCTTCCTTGCCTCGAAATTATGCTAAAACAGTTCTAGAACAAGTTTGTTTTGAAATTTCTTGGTTGAAAACTAGTTTTCTTTCCAAAAATCCTGGTTTTAAAAAATAGGTGGCGACATTCGGCGACATTCGGCGACATTCGGCGACATTCAGCGACATTCGGCGACATTCGGCGACATTCGGCGACATAACCAGTGTCGACCAAAATTCACTATCAATTTTTTCTTCTTTTGCTATCTCCTCCGAGGTAAGTGAGAGTAGCAAGATGAAATTAGTATCGTTAGAAAGAGCTTTTTTGAACTTTTATAAATGGCCTATTACCTTCTCAATTTGCACTCGAGTTGATCGTAACACTCGATTATTGAGAAAGTGTCACAAAAAGGAGGCGAGTGATAAGGTGAGAAATTGCGGAGCGCGCAGGACAAAACAAATAATCGATTATTACGGTCGACTTGAGTACAAATTTGGAATGTAATAGGCCATTTATAGAAGTCCAAAAAAGTTCTTTCAAGCGATACCAATTTCATCTGATTCTTCTCAATAACCTCGGAGGAGATAGCAAAAGAAGAAAAATATTGATAGTGAATTGTAGCTCAACGGTATTAGCTAGAGAGAAATAATTCACACGACTAGAAAGCTATTTAAATTTAAGGGTGACAATAAAAAATAAATTTTTGAGTACCATTATCCCATCAGATTCAGTGGGCATGAGGAAAAGTGTGAAAAGGGCGCGCGCGAAGATCCTACTCTACCCTTAAGAGCGTTTTTGGTAAGTCTAATGTAGTAACGTGAAGGGTAGGTCAAAAAAGGAGAAGATATAAAAATATTCAGTCAAACCTTCTGAAGGCTACCGTAAGAAACTAAATATACTCGATATACGATGAAATTATGAATGTGAGAAGCGGTGGAACTGCGGATTTCACTAAAAAATTCCAATTTTTTGAAGTTGATTTTCACAATTTTTCGGATTTTGACCAAAAGTCCCAAATTGACCACTCCCAAATTGACCACCCTAAGCTACGGTGGTCGTATCGGATAAATCCGAGAAATCGGCCTCGTCGAGCGTGCTTTTACGCGAATGAGTTTTTCGACTCGCGCCGCGCCCACTGGCACAACAATTCTAGAAACAAAACTGCAAAATATGGGTGTCGTGAACTGAGCGTCACCTCAACAGGATCTCAACAACAACGAGGCTTGCAACATTCGGTCACCCAGATTTTGTTATAATAAGGTGATAAAAATTTATCTGCAGGTTTTGACGCTGAATTAGGCGCGCTCAGATCGAGCGACGGATAGGGCCTCCGTCGCTCAGATTCTCATATCTCCACTTAGAGCTTAACTCCATGGAACATGGTATTTTGGGCAGAAAGCGCCCAGCCGCGCGCGGTCTTTCCAATACAAGCCCAAGCGATTTTTTTACGATTTCTCAATTACAAAAGATATTTATTTGCGGGGGATTCAGTGGAACCGAGTGCATGAGCTCCGTAGAAACATATTGTCCGGGAGATAATCATTGGACGCAGGTTATTAAATATTATTCACGAAAAGTGGGTGTAGGGCGGCCACGTTCTGCAGCAGAACGGCGTTCTGCAAATGCGAAATGGCGTTCTGCAAATACAGAACGGCGTTCTGCACTCAAAAAATATATGCGCTTCGCGCCTGTCTTAAAGGAAATCTCGGAATTTCTTAAGTCAGGAGTTACTCTTTAAGCTTCGCTGAATGCGTTAAAACTGATAAGAATCAAGTTACATCGTAAAAAAAATCCTTATGCAGAACGCCATTCTGCATTTGCAGAACGCCGTTCTGTATTTGCAGAACGCCGTTCTGGCAGGGGAAAAAAGAACTTCTCCACGCACTCGCTAGAGCGAATTCTAAAAGGGCGCGCGAGAGGCGCGAGGGTGCAGCAGCTGAGGCACACGCGAGTAACGCGGTAGGAGATGGGCACACCCGGTAGGTATAATGTGGATTCGCCTGCCCCCCCAGCGGGTGACAAGCCCAACACGGCCGAACTGCCCAACTCTGCGGGAAACAGCGAGGCTCAGTCGGAAATCGCTAATCTATCGAGGAAAATCATGATCAGAGGGTTGTTCGACGCTCTAGCTTATCTGCACAAGGTTAACTTTTCGGAGGATCATGAGCATTTTTGCTCAAAAATTTTCAGGAAAGATGTGATTTATACTAATATATGTATATATGTATTTATATTATAAGTTATAATTTATAACCCCTTAAAAAGATCCATTTTTATCTAAGAATCATTTTCTTTCATTACAAGAAACCAAAATAAGCACATTCTCACCCATAAAACGCATTTCGGCGACCCAGTTTTGTAATTCTTAGAATTTCTTTCTTTTGAAGCATATCCAAGACTGTTTACATTCATTACCGATGTCATAATTTAAAACGTTGTTAACCCTATGCGCCTCGCTGGGAATTCTTTCCCCGCACCCTTTTAATGCAGATTCCTTCGTCAATTTTCGTCGAATTTAAAAAATTGATAAAAATAACAATCAACATCAAGTTTTCTCGGGGACTCTCGATTCGTCTAACAAAATTTTTTAAGTAAGTCAGGGCTTGCAATTTCACTGTTTTTTATTTCGGGATTTTTGCCGAAAACCGTGTAATTGCAAGCCTCGAAATCTTAAGGTAAAATTGCAATTTTAATGAATTTATTGTGTTTTTCACGTTCAGAAAAGTAAATTTGGTTCCTTCAATTTTATTCTGCTGTTATTTTCGGGCACTAGAAAAAAATATATTCTTTACATATTCAATAATTAGTTTATCTACGTGGATAAATATACAAATGCCTTATTTTTGAAAATGCAAAAATCTTCGGGATTTCCGCCAAAAACCGTGTTATTGCAAGGCCAGAAATTGCAAGCCCTGACTGTTTTTGTATACCAATTTGTGATTATCTAAATCGAAGATCTTTGACGAAATAGTTTTTCTTCAGTTAATTTTCCATCTGCGGGGATCATTAAAATCAAATGTTACAGATCGGAATTCTTACAGCAGTATCCTTTGTTAGATTTTTATTTTCTTGGAAAATCAAATAATTTCTTTAAAAAAAAATTTCTTGAACCTATACAGTTTTTAATGAAACTTCTGGACATCAAAATTCTGGAGCACACTCACTTGGACTTTTCTCTCACTTGGACTCGCGCTCATTCTGACTCTTCGCTCGTTTGAACTCGCCGGCCAATTAGAGCGCCGGTTCAATTGAGCGAGGAGTTAGAATGAGTGCCAAAAATTTCTTTTCTGCAAAATTTTTTCCTGAAAAAAAAAGAAAGAAAAATTCAAATAAATTCGAAAAAATATCAATCACATGACAGAATCAAGAAGATATTTAAACATCTCCTTGAAAGTTGTTTGAAACACTCTTTTAAAAATTTAAAAGGTTGAAGTTCGGAGGTTGATGAGTTCTTGCAGGTGTCTGTTGTCTACGAGACTTTGTGTCTGTGAGACGGAGGAATTGAGGTTGCCGGTTTTAAGAAGTACTTGAAGGTTACACAATACTGCATTATTAATTGAGTGAGAGAAGATTGAGGAAGAATAACTGTAGATAAATCTGTAATTCAAAGCCATTTCGTACTGTATTTTCTGGCTAAATTTTTTTAATAGATAAAATGAAGCTGTTATGGCCGACAAAGCCTCCTAGTCTTCAGAACTTCAATAAACTTCCATTGTCCGGAACATTGGACGAGCCTCAAGCCTTAGGTTGCTTTCCCTTGAAGACTAATTGGAGGATAGCGGTTAGAGTTGGCAGTGATGTTGCATGGTTTTCTCCTCGTTGGCCTCTTACGTTTACGGAGAGTGATTCTAATGGTAAAAAATAGTTGCATTTGGAGTTAACGCCTGAACGCATATCGACCTATTTCTGGGTAAGGCGCTAAAATATGGCTTCAGAGTATCCGTGGCGAGTACGACTTCTTTGCTTACGAAAATCAAAAGGATGCACATGCAAGACATATTTATATTTAAAAAAGGCGAAAGAAAGGTTAGAAGAGGAAAATTACTTCGACGTCGAAAATATGAAACTTGGACCGTTGGAGGATTGGTTCAAACATTTATCTGACTCGGCTTGTATTGCAAGCGATGGATGGAGGGCTCTTGTCTCTAACTACATCAAACAGATTGGATTCATAAATCGAACAAAGACTATCAAGTCTTCCGAGCTTTTATAACAGAGGTATGTTCTCTTCGAAGAACTCCGAAGTCTGATTGTTTTTCAACTTAAGATGAGAAAACATATTTTAGAGAAATTGAAGAGGCTATCGGTTTAACCGAGCAAGATTCAAAATATTTTTTTGACAAGAAAAAAAGTCGAAATCAGCAGCAATCCTCCTGGCGTTTTGAAAAATCATCAGGCATACGTGCTGAGAGAATAGTAGTGGATAGGACTGCTCAAATTGAAGAACACTTAAATTGTATACAAGAATTGTTAATTGATTCCAATCTTATATTAATAGCGGTTGAACTTGAAGGTCTTTTTATTTCAGAAAATTTCATGTTAATTGTATTGTAATCGCTGAATTGAACTTTTAACGCAAGAATTGACTAAATACGCAGTACATGTGAGAATAGAAATATGAAGTGAGTGATACTTGTTAGATTGTTAGAGCAGTCTTTGAAAAAGGGTTTCATTGAGCAGTTTCGCCTCGACGAGTGAAGAAGTGGAATTGAGATCGAGGGGCTTCGGCGGGAAGCCAGAGCGCAGCTCGTAAGAGCGTCCGCCGGTGTGAGGGTCGCAGAACTTTTTGATGTCGCTGATAGTGTGGTCTTGGTTGAATTCTGCGAGTTTATTAGTAGAATTGGCGTTATTTTCTGATTTACCTTGAACTAGCTATTTTCCAGAAGATAGACGGAATCGCAACTTTGTTTTTGATTTTGACTCGTCAATGTTGACCAGCGATTCCGTCGCCGGCGCCTTTGATGGTGGAATTGAGGGGCCAGCGTCACTTGCGCCAAGTCTGTTGCCACTTCCAGTGAAGGCTTTGAACTGTGGCTTTGGCTAGAATAGCTGTTTTAAGACCTTTCTCTGGGTAACATGTTACCTTGTTGCTTCGTAATCATCTTGTCGCCTTCTCCATTTCCAGAGCCACTTCTGTTCCGTATTTCAGTCTTCCGCTAGTGACTTGATCCAAGAATTGCTGATTTCTGGGCCCACTGTAAAGTCGGATGTCCTAATAATTCAAACAATGAGTTCAACAATCAAAAACGAAAAATCCTTACTTCATCATTGATAGTAAAACCATCTTTTCACATCGTGATTTTAACTTTTTCTGGTTCTTTTACTTACTTGGGTCATTGTCTATCAGCAACGTAGAAATCTAATTCACCGGTTAAATACTGCATTTGCTAATGATCTACCTTTTATTGGATTTATTTTCTTGAGCATAGACTCGTTGTCGCTGTTGGACTCGAGAACAAACTCTCTTAAATGGCGTCCCTTGTCGATGAAGTCTTGCAGCGCGCTTGCAGGCAACATCCCAAACGAATGTTTCGTTTCTTTGTAGTTCTTCATCTCGGATTCTGAAATCAAGGGTTAATCAGGACTGGGCCTACTTTAAAACTACATTACCTTCACCACCGATAATTGTTGGAACTTCAGTTGAAAACAAGTTCGTGGATGCTCTCGAATAGATTGGCAAAGTCGGCTGATAAGCGAGTGATTGCTTCTGTGAGCTCACCCTTGAGAATGCAGCTGACAATTCCGATTCTTGTTTTTTTGGTAGCCTTTGCTTCAACTGCGCATCTGAAAAATAAATTATGAGATGAAAGAAATCGGTGACATTACTTGATCTCATCGTAGAGGCGCTCATTGTCCTGCTTGATTTCCAAAATCTCATCGGTAAGCTGGCTTCTGAGCTTCTCACGCTCGCTCAGACCTAAATGTTCATCAGCTCCTTTTCTTTGAATTTGAGCGTACTTTGGATGTCTTTGAAGCCTGATGCTTTACCGGGAATCGTTTCAGTTGCCTTTTGAATAGCTGCAGTTTGATTGAGATGATCCTGAATGTTTGTTCTCTTTGTTGTCTCCATCTTCGCTTTTTACAGAATATTCCGCTCATAATCTCTTCCTAAAAATATCAATTAACAATTGACAGGAACCAGATGGCGAATAGACAATTCCGAGCTCGAGGATCATGATCAGAGTCAAGTTTTCGATGATTTTCCGTGTTTCGCCACTGATGCATCGCTTCATCAATTAAAAATTCAATCCCTCTGGACAGCAGATGGAAAACATCTTAAGAAAAAACCTGATATGCCAGCTGAACTGATCTGGACATTGTCAACAAAAGATGCAAGTGGACATTGTTATCCTCGATTTACGTGTCTCATCCCGAATAGCACAACAGAGACATTTGTGAATGTTCTTTATGCACTGAAGGAAAGGCGTAAAATTAGGCTTACCATTGTTACATTCGCACTTTTCGACTTGATAGAGGTTATCCATACAGCATTTTCCATTATTGTTACAAAAATCATCGTCCAGTGATCGGAATGTTACTAGAATTACGATTAAAACCGCTCCTATTAGAATCTATTAGGGACAACTCAATTGACGACCGTTATGGCAGACTTCGAGCCAGCACAAAGGCTGGCATTCAATTCGGTTTTCCACGATCAGAACCTTCATTTTGAAGGATGTCATTTTCACTTATGGGCTAAAATTATCAATATCGTTCTTACCCGAGTTGGAAGTGAAGGAATCGTTGTCTGGAACATCGTCGAAGTTTTCTTCGGCAATTTCTTCGACGTACGAAGCAGAGACGATTCCTTCTGCGCCGGTTACGGGATTTCTAAAGATTTTCTATCAGATAATTTGATTTATAATTTTGAATACAGCAACAAAAAGCTTGCCAGAGATATGCCGCGGATATAGGACTCCAAAGCCGATATGAAAAAGCATCTGACTTGCAAAGTCTTGTGGCTGGAATGGCATGGGTGGACTTATCAAATAAAAACTTTTACGATTGCTATTCTGAACTATTAGGCGACATTATCTCTCGATTGAAATGTCCATTATCCGACGCTTTATGGAGTGATTTTGAACGATACCTGAGGGCTACATGGATCCGAGCTGATTCTATATATCCGTCGAGTACCTGGAGTGTTGAGCTAGCCAGACGAAGCAAAGAAGGTTGCACAGATAACACCAATAATGGAGTTGAATCGTTCGTAAGTGAAATCAAGGAAGACTAAAAAAATGGTTAAATAATCATCATAGCATGGTAAACTGGAATTATGCGGCGTTACGAAGGCCACGCATATAAGTAAGGTTACTGAGCTGGTAAGAGCTTGTACGATAGCTAGAAGAAAGGCTGAGCATAGTAATATGGAAAAAGACGCGATTTTTTGCGCTGAACGAAGGTCAAGAAAGTTATCAATGCTGATGCGATATGTGTTCATAAATAAATTAATCAAGGAATTCGTTCTTGAGGAAGATTCCGTTGAAAGAAAAAAAATTATGCTGAAGTACTTCCGGAAGATCTACTTTGCTCCATCAGCAGCAGAAACTATGCTCACAGATAACGCAAGTTTCATGAAGTTTATTCGAGAAACTGACAAAACACCTTACTTTTACAAAGCTCTCAAAGAAATACGAAGTGATGTAAGTTTATAATTTGTAAATAAAGACTAAAATTTTTGAGCTTACCGAGGAAAATCTCCGAAACGAAGATGAAGGAGAAATAGAGCCGCCACAAGAGCTTACTGAAGCTGATCTTGCGCCAGTTCATGAAGCCACAGGGTTACATTGCCAGCAATCATTTCAACGCGAAAATATCTTCAATCAGCCTGAAGTTGATTCAGAATTTGATATCATTGACGAGTATGAATCTGAGGATTCTGAATTACCTGATCCGACGTTGACTGAATCGTCGTCAATGCCGATGTCGACGAACTTGATCAAATCTTCCTTGGTGTCGCTCCCGTCGTCGAAGGAGGCATCAACTAGTTCATCGACTGTGACCCCGCGGCCAGTCGTCTATCTTGTGCCGCTAAAACGATATGTTAACATTCAGCCACGGAAACCTGGAAAAATGAATAAGGAGGAGATCGAGCGAGCTAAGACAGCACTTCGTAGTAGTGATCTGATTGAAAAACAACGAAAAATAATCGAAGAAAAAGAAAGAAATGAAGCGGAAAAAAAGAAACAAGCGGAGGAAAAGGCCAAACAAGCAGAAGCTGAAAAGAAGAGAAAAGCGGATGAAAGGGCACTAAAAAAGGCAGAAAGAGAGCAAAAAGAAGCAGCTTAAAAGAAGAAAAAAGCAGAAGAAAGGGCACAAAAAAAGGCGGAGAGGGAAAAAAATGAAGCAGAAGAGAAGAAGAGAAAAGCTGATGAAAGGGCACGTAAAAAGGCGGAAAGGGAGCGTCAAGAAGCTGAGAAAAAGAGGTTAGCAGCGGAGAAAAGAGCACAGATCGCGAAAGATAAGGCCGAATTGGCTGCATGTCAGAAGGAAGTAAAAGATAGAGAACGACAAGAAAGGATAGCAAAAAATGATGATAAGAAAAAAAGATCGTATCTTTGGAGGAGACCAGAAGTATTTAAATACTCTTTAATTTAATTCTAGTTGAAAAAAAGGATGAATGATATTGCGTTTGAAGATGCTGTTGAAAAGGCTAAAAAAATGGCTGAAGAAAAATTTTACGATAAAACTTCAGAACTAAGAGCAGAAATGTACGAAAAGGCTCGGAGATACAAAGATTATCTTAGAAAGAATCCTATTGAAGAGAGAGAAAATAACTTAGACGATGACGATGATGAAGCTATTGTTGCAAAAATTGAAATTGATAGATTTCTACGAAGAAAGGCTGATCTCCCCGAAAATTCCCCTTATTCTTTTTGGAATGTTAGATTTACCTTTGATGATCCACGAATTTGTGGCTGCACGCTCCTATTTTCGGCCTCTTTTCAGAAAAGCGCGCGGCAGAGGGCGCTTTTTCCCAAGCGGATTCTAGGCACTCCGTCTGAAAATATATTTTAGTATGCAACTAATGATAACAGTGCGAAGGGTGCGAGTGATTATTCATTTGATTGCTCGAATTGGGATTCGGTAGAGGACATGGGCAACATGAACATGATGCCGAACCAAATGCAGATGAATCCAGGCATGATGCATCCACCGGGTGAGCAAGTTTACGGCCAGCCGATTGGGATGAACATGCCTCAGAATCAGCAAGATGACGATTATTTAATTAATTTAGGTAAGCTCAATTACAAAAATGTAAAACTATTAGTTAACTTAGTCGAGGTGCAACCACCACTTAAAAAAAGAGTAATTATTGCTCCTCGCCCAGACAGTAGTGACGATGAGTTACCTTTATCAGAAGCCAGGCAAAGTCTTGACGAAAATCTGCATACCAACTCGGAGACGCAAGACGAGATGCAAAGTAGACTCACTCAGGATTTGAGTCCGACGACGAGTTCTTGAATTTCTGTGCTCATTTCTTCATTCATGTCTGATTTCGGCGAATCTTCTAGGAATAAATATCAACTCGTTAAAAGAAAAAAGTTTGATTTAATTTCACAATTAAGTCCTTCAAGGCTTTGCTTTATTATTTATGGAAATTCTTACCTTTGATGATGATGAAGGGGATTGTAGTTGGGAACTTCCTTCATGACCTTGCCGTAGTTGGCCTGATCGAAGACGCAAGCATTGGCAAGCAACTTTATTTGGGTGTAGGGCGCCCAGGTTCACAATTGTGAACCCGGTTCACAATTTTGTGAACCCGGTTCACAATCTGTGTGAACCCGGTTCACAAAATTTTTAAAAGGATGAAATCAGGGAACTTTATGCGCTCCGCGCCTGATTTTATAGAGAAACTCATTTTAGACGTTATAAACTTTCTCTACAACCCCGCCTTCAGTCGATTTGAGTCACTTTTTTGACCGAAATTGTGAACCAGGTTCACAAAATTGTGAACCGGGTTCACAAAATTGTGAACCAACCGATTGTGAACCTGGGCGCCCGCCACCCCTTTATTTCATTCTATGAAGAGACGGTTATTTCCTGACAATTTTAGGCTTTGAAAATAAGAAAAGGGATTTAAAGTAAGAAAGTTAATATAAGAAAGGGGAAAACGAAGGACTTAATTGAAGAGAGAACTAGAATGGGCAACCTCATTAATTTTATCAAAACAGTCATTTTCTAAAAGCCGCTCAGCAGCTTCTTTATTATTTTTCAATCCTGACTCAGGTTTTTTTCACAGGTTGCCAAGGCCAGGACTTCTCTTTTTAATCCTTGATTTTTTTCTCTAGATGAGATTTTCTCTTGAAAATTTACTAAGAAATCGTGAAAAAATAAGAAAAATCGAAAAGAGCTGCATTAAATCTGACCACTCGGCGCGCGGCGCTATCGCCCACGCAAATTTGAAAGCTCACTTGAACTCCCGCTCGATTGAACCAAAATCTCATTTGAACCGACGAGTTCAAGTGAGCGGGGGTTAGAACGAGCGCGAGTCCAAGTGAGTGAAAAGTTTAAGTGAGCGTGCTCCCAAAATTCTGGACATTGATCCAATTTTAACGGATTTTCTTGCGACACTCTTGAAAAGCTCTTGTACCAAACTTCTCTTCGTCGAAGCTCACTTCTCCTCTTATAAAAAGAACGCCGGATCTATCTGTGAATATCTTTATTTTTATCTTTGAAGTTGACGTATTAAATTTTATATTTTCATTTATTCGCAAGATCTTTCGAGTCAGATGACTCTTCTTCAGGCTGAAAAAGGTAAACTAGAGAAGGAATTGAACAGGAGTTACTTACCGGACTGGTAAAAATGCGAGTGAGCCGGTGTGTGAGAAAGACGGAAAGGTGCGAGTAAATCTAGAAAGAAATAATCGCGTATCTGGGAAATTTTGATCTATAGGCTCATACCATCTGACTCGAAAGATCTTGCGAATAAATGAAAATATAAAATTCAACACGCCAACTTCAAAGATATTACCACATGGATAATCGACGACTTCTCCAAACTAAACAAACCTGGAGAGAAACTTCATAGAAGTAAACAACATCTTACTTTCTTAACCGTATGTTTCGAAGCCAAAACACCCCCAAACTATACTAATCTCCCTAAATCCCTACTACAACACTAATCGGTCACCCGATCAACTACTTTCTCACCGGCTCAAAATTGTTGATAAAGACATAATAGCCACACAATCCCGCATTTGTACGGTACACACTATTTGTACCCTGCGAACAAAATTCGAAAACCAAGTCTCTTCTCTGCAGCAAAATTTTAACTCTTCCGACTTTTCGACCACCAAACAACATATCTTTTCCACCATTGCGAACAACCAACTTCCCCTTGATAAAAAACGTAACTCTAAAATACAATCTCTTTTATCTGCAAACACTCATCACCACTGTCCCATTACTATTTTTAACACTAAAAACGAACCTATTTCTTCCGAACTCACCGAATTGCTCAAACTAGGCATTGACCTCCCCTTGCATCGAAGCGCAAACCCAAACAAACTTCTAACTTCTCTCGAATAGTTAACACAAAACTGGACTAAATACGCTGAATCTGTTAAAATTGACCCTCTTACCATTGATGAAGTTAAATCGATTTTAAAACTCAAATTTCATTTGTTAAGAAAGTGCTACATGCCAAGCAACAAACAAAAATAACTTACCTCCTTTCTAAATAACAACCCTTCTGTCCGTTTTATAAAAATTGATAAAAGTAAAAACATCCAACTTATTCACACTGACGAGTACAATACTAAAGTTAACAAACAATTAAATAATTCTCAATTTATTAAACTCGCCCGTAATCCTCTCTACCTTGATCTTAAAATTTTCTACCCCCTTATAAGTAAACTTGAGCCTTACCTCAGTAAGAACACCTTCAATCTTATACGCCCTAATTATGCCATTAAATCCGCTTATAGCCTCCTGAAACGGCACAAACCAGGACATTCACTGCGCCCCATTGTATCTAGCAAGAATTCACTCACTTCCGGTATTGAAACTTATTTTGCAAAAATTCTGAATACAATTATACCAGATATAAAATACAGCCCATCATCCTAAAAATTGTCCATCTCATTTACTCAAACCGTGCAAAATTCTTTGAAAAAGAGTCAAGAGATGATATTGAATGCGAAATCATCCCTCGGCCCATTTTCGAAGAAGTAATTACTAAAACGCTCTGTTACTATACTGCCTTCTGTACAGAAACCAGCTTCTATCGCCAGTCCAGCGGTGTAGCAATGGGATCGCAAATTTCCGGCATTATCGCCAACACCATGATGCATTTTTTAGAAAGCGATATTATCGACCATGAAAAATCCTGTAACAACATCAAATTTTATGGAGTATACGTCGATGATGTAAAATGCATCATCAAAAAGTCCGAACTTCCGCGTATTAACCACCCTCTTAACAACTGGGATAAGAACGTTAATTTCACTATTGAATTCGACTCTTATCATTCTCTAAATTACCTCGATACGACTATTTATCTGGATCCAAACACTAAATTACTGGAGCTCAAACAGTATCAGAAGCCTTCCAAAGGCGACACTTAACAACACTTCACCAAATCAGTTTCACCCCTCTCTCAAAAACTTGGACTTCTCTCTGGCGAAATCTATCGCGCTAACAGCTGTACTACAACTGCACAAAATCTCGACAGTGCACTTTCCTCTCTTACTAAGAAATTTGTTAAAAACGACTACCCTGCTAAAATTATCAAATGTAAAATTAGATCCATCGAAGATCGCAAATTCGTGCCCCCTGAAAAAGACCCAAATATCACTCATCGTTTTCATTTGAGTCTGGAATTAACATCACCACGCGTTAACAAAATTGCCAAATCCATTTCCTCTCTCATCCGTAAAATCACACCGCAGTACAAAGTTATTCTCGCTTTTAAAACCCTTCGTTTAGGCCAAATTATTAAATCCCGTCTTAGGCGGAAACCTGATTCATCTTAAAAAATCAGGCATTTGTTACCGATTCAACTGCTCCTGTTCCGAAATTTATATAGGGGAAACCCTCCGAACCTTTCATCTCCGCACTCTTGATCATACTCGCTCTCCAGTAAAACCGCAATTAAAATTCACACCAATAACTGTCCCGCCTTCCAAGAGGGTATATTGTATACAACTGCCGGTATGAAATTTCTCAAAAGTCTATTTTTTAAATTCAATTCTAGCGGCCTTCACACGAACCATTTACTCTTTGCTTCGAGCCGACCCTGAAATCGGAATGTCCTACTCAGATTTCAGTGCTTACGTAAATCTGATCGGGGACGAAATTAAAGAAGTAACTGGAGTTCCAATGAGAGTATCCAAGAAGCTCGGTTTTCTTTATTTGAATCAATTTCTTCAGTCTCGTCTTCAAGGTTATTATGTTGTGAACGACGGCGGCTTTCTTCTTCGAAGCAGAAAAAGTTAACTTCGGTCGAATGAGGTTTTTCAGATGAGCAAAAACTTTCTTCATTTTTTCTGATTTACTTTCCTTCGTTCGAAAATATTGAGTATCAAGTAAGTTCCAAAAAGATTTTGTTTTGTTAATTGAGTCAAATGTCGCGCTAAATACCGTTCGCCTAGGCCTCACAAAATTTCGCCAGTCGTCTTTGCCACGGGAATTTTTTTTGTTAACCAGATCTCTCGCGAAACTGTCCCCTGCGCGACGAGATAATTCTCAACATCATTGATAGTCAAGGGACAAGATTTTCTTCCGTCAAGGCCAGAGAAAAAAATAGAAAAAGTAATGAATTTCATTTTTCTGAGATTTTGTGTCTTGACGCGCATTGTGGAATCAGAATTATTATCGAATCAACAGAAGAAAATAGGGTCGTGTCTGCCAGAAGGGTCGAGTCTGTCAGAAGGCTATCATGTCTCCAAGAGAAGCGACCAAAAACGAGCAACAGCCCAGATGCATTCCGGACCAGCGAGAGTCGTCTGGGAGCCATCCGAAAGTTGTGAATCGATAAACACCGAATGCATCTTCGTGAGTGTTTGCCCGCTCATTAGAACTCCAGTTACTTCTTCAATTTCGTCTCCGATCAGATTTACGGAAGCACTGAAATCTGAGTAGGACATTCCGTTTTCAGGGTCGGCTCGAAGCACAGAGTAAATGGTCCGTGTGAAGGCCGCTAGAATTAAATTTAAAAAATATACTTTTGAGAAATTTCATACCGGCAGTTGTATACAATATACCCTCAAACTCTCCGCACGACAAGCCTCCACTAAAGTTGGTATCGTAGTAATGCCAATTGGACCGGATAGTTTCTTCAATATCATCGAGAACTGCAGGTTCGAAGTAAAGGTGGTTGCCGATTTCACGAACACACGTCAGTAAGCTCCCTTCAGTGATTTCAAGGAAAGACGGATCCATACAGTGCTCGCAAATTTGCGTCAGGCTAACATCATGGTAATTTAACAAAATTCACACCAACAACTGTCCCGCCTTCCAAACTGACTATGACAATTATATTAACTCTCCAGAAGTTACCACCAACATTTCTCAAGGCGATTTCGCCAAATCTAAATTTTCCATAATTCAATCTAACCTTTCTAACTACACAAACCTTAAGCTAACCGAAAGTTTCCTTATTAAACTGTTCAAACCTAGTATTAACGAGCAAGGTGACTTCAAGGAAGTCTGTTTCATTTGATCTATAGGCACTTTTAATCGCGTATCTGGAGCCTATAGATCAAAATCCCCCAGATACGCGATTATTTCTTTCTAGATTTACTCGCACCTTTCTGTCTTTCTCACATACCGGCTAACTCGCATTTTAGCCAGTCCGGTACGTAACTCCTGTTCAATCCCTTCTCTGGGAGTGGGTCCTCCGCGAAGAACAACAACATTGTTACAACAACCCCCGTCTAGAAGCATTTTTCACAATTCACCTCTCTCAATAATTGACCGAAGAAACTTTTTCTCTCTTTAATTCTTATCACTTTTGTTTTGTTTTAATGAAAATGAATAAACTAAATAATGATAATTTGCCAATAATAGTAATAGAAAATCTTTAAATTAAAAAAACGGTACCCCGGCCCAATAATTCGTTGCAATGAATAATCCATTGAAAAAACGAATAATTCGTCGCGGTACTTTTCTTTTGAGCTAAAATCAGATCAGTTAATCACACAAAACAAAGTTATTCAAATTTTCATGGAAACCTAATGAAGCAATTATGATATTCCTTAGGTTTCAATATGATTGGTTAGGTATAGGATTAGTGTTAGGGTTAGGGTTAGTCAAAAAGCTCTCTGATGAGGGTCCCGGGGGCAAAGCCCCCTTGGTTTGGCCTTAGGAGAGGTTTCGGGGCGTAGCCCCTGGGCTAGGTTAAGGATGTTTCTATGACTTACTTTTCGTACCAAAAAATTAGCCTGAGCATAACGGTTTGGAAGTATACAATTATCCTGAGGATCATCCTCAGCATACCCCTTGGAAATGAATCCTGAGGATCGGACTCAGGATACCCGTCAGAATTGAATCCTGAGGATAGGACTCAGGATACCCTTCAAATTATGAATCTTGAGGATGATACTCAGGATACCCAAAAAATGAATCCTGAGGATCATCCTCAGCATACCCCTTGGAAATGAATCCTGAGGATCGGACTCAGGATACCCGTCAGAATTGAATCCTGAGGATAGGACTCAGGATACCCTTCAAATTATGAATCTTGAGGATGATACTCAGGATACCCAAAAAATGAATCCTGAGGATAATAAGTCATGTATCTGAGCCTCGTTGTTGATTTCTTCGGTATTCGTTGTGCTGTAGTTTGATCGCGTCTTTGTTGCAATAAGTGGATATCTAGATACAAACAATAACTGTTTTGAAAGAACATCAATCGTTGTTCTATCATTTTTCAAGAGAAATTCTGTCAAAAAACTATCAATAGGGTCCGTACACAAAAATTAAGTACCCGAAATACTAATCCAATCTTTTGTATTTTCAAATATGTTTTTAAGATAGCTAAAATTAGTATTTTGTTTTTCTGACTTTCTCTAAAATAAAAGGGGTGAGAAAATATAAAGGGTCAAAAATGGTGATTTTTGTGTTCACCAGGTTGCATTCCGAGTTAAAAAAAATGATGTTACTGGGATAACCGGCGGGACAAGCTTGTTTCAAATCCTTTTTAAAAAAGTTTGAACAGAGCATGCATCTGTCCGAAATTTACAAAAAACTGTAAATTTTGCCGATATTTTGAATGCAGCGCGCGGCGCGCGATCACGCAGGGGAGCGCATGATACGGGGTGAGCACGCAAAACCCAGGGTGGAAGGTAGAATAGATTTTTTCAAATTTTTAAAACTTAGCCAAAGAGTACCAAACGAACCGTCAGATATGCTCAAGGAAGATTATTTCGAGCTAGGAATTAAATTAATTAAAAATTTAAAGAAAAACGATTTTCATTATCTAAATTATAAACCATAAGTTAAATAAAAACAAGAATAATTTGAATTTTAAAAAGAATGGGTGTAGGTGGGGTTGGGGACAAAACTGAGATTGATCAACTCAGAGTTCCAGGCCTTTGTCAAGCGGCTTGACTCAAGCCCCTATATAAAAATCAAGGAATGTGGTGTAATGATCTATCTCTCTAAATCTTCATAGTGCCATTAAGAGTAGATCACACTGTATAGACTATACAGTATAGTTTTGAAATTGTATTTTATTCCATTTTTGTGTTTTGTTTTTCAGGCTTACATAGAGTTACTAAAATCTAAGAGGTCGTATCGTTTATAAAGGGCACATTTTCATAGCAAGATTTTTCAAGAGTCTCACTTATTGTGGTTAATTCTTCCATAAAGGCATTAGAAATTGACTCTTGATTTTCCAATTTTTCTAAAGTCATTGATTCCGGAATAATACTTTTACTGATATAAGTTTCACTTGCCCCAGTGTCGATAAGGACCTGCGGAATTTCTAGGTTTTTGACAGAACCATTATCTTGGTACTGTTTTAAGATAACTGTAGTTGTTGGAATCATTTCTTGTAGTTGTTAAAGCCCTTTCTACGGCTGGAAGAATTTTTCTTTTTAAAGCAATTTGCCTCTATATGGCCAGGCTTTTTACAGTAAAAGCAAACTGGTTTTTTTTATCAAATTTGTTGCTGTCCTTTTTGGCCGCATCAAAAGGCTTCTTAAAGTCTCTCTTCCCATTTTGGAAATTCTGAGAGCCATTTTTTGTCCTGCAGTCTGGAGCTTTGTGACCTGGTCGGCCACATTTGTAGCAAACGATCTTTGCCTTTCCTTATTGGAGCTACCACTGCTTTAAGTTTTCGGCATTCATTTTTCTTATGTCCTTTAATGCCACAAAAATAGCAAGTGACTTCTTTTTTGTTTCCTTGCCAGAAAGATTTTCCAGAAGAGTTCTTTCCGAAGGAATTAAATTGTTTTTTACCTCGGTTCAAATTATTGAGCTCTGTGAACTCGCCAGATCTATATTTGGCATAAAGCTCTGTACATTTATCGACTAAGTCGTCTTTTGACTTACTCTTGTCCTTTCTGTATTCAAGAAGCATTTCGGAATTTTGGATTTTCTTTGGAAGTTTGTCGAGAAAATGTTGGAAGGAGAGTTCCTTAAGAACCTCATCTGAAGCACTTTCTGTGACAGTGTTTCTGACGAGCTCTTCTATAGCATAAAAGAAGTTTCTTAAATTTTCATGCTTATTTTCATCGAATCTGATTTTCTTTAGCATACTTTCATATTCGAAATTATCCTTTCTGCAAAATTTTTCGAGTGTCTGCTCAAAATGTTTGACTGTCATTTTCGTCTTGACCTAATAATCGCCTTTTGAAAGTTCGAGGATAACGGTTTTTGTAGAGGTTGTGGAAGTCGACCACACATGTGAGAGACCTGTTTTGCCTCGTCATCAATGCCTCCATAGTATAGAATGAATCCACATTGCTTGATCCAAGTTTTGATATTGTCAATTTCCTTGAAATTAGGGAGTGCAATTTTTGTTGAGTTGCTCATTTGATTTAGTTTCAATTTAATTTGGGGCTCTTGAGCCATGCTCGGCAGCTCAATATCAGAATCATCGTCTGATTCATTGTCCTTGGTGAACTCGAGGTTACTCTCGTTGTTTTCGGAGAAAAGTTTTTGACTGAATTGTCGTCTCGAGTTTCATTCGGGAACTGAAGACTCCCTTTTGATTTTGATGGGGTTATTTCAACCATTTCTTCATCATCATCCGGAATGGCTTCCGCTTTTATTTCATCGGACAAAGTGGTTTCAAGCTTTGTACTTTCATTCTGGATTGTTTTATCAAGAATGGACTCAACTTTTTCTTGACTAACATTGAGATCATCTAAAGCGATGTCTCGTTCAATAGTTTTCCATTTCACCTAAAGTGACTTGTGAAGCGTTAGGATCAAAGGCTTCATATGCTTCCTCAGCTTCAGCTTCTGCAGCAGCTACCTCTTCCGCAAAATTCCTGATTTCTGTTAAATTGATATTTTCAATAACAACGTACTCAGAGTTTTCTCCAGAGAGAACACCCTTGACACGTCGGTTGACTGAGTCCCGTGGACTATCAAGTTTGATCTTGTCCTTGCATTTTTTGAAAGTTAGATTCACGTTTTTGGCTCAAGAATCCAAAATATCATGTTTCAAGTAAATCCAAGACCACCATGATGTTTCTCGTGCTCTGAGCGGAAAGCCCTTGGAATGAAGCGAATGTCCCCAATGTCCCGAATGTCCCCGATTTTTATTTTTTTGGCCTTTTGAAAAAAAATATTTATTATAGGGAAAAACAGAAATTTTTCACAACAATATTGTTCTAGAGACGATTTTTACCAAATCCAATGAGTTTTCTACGGTAGTATGTGGTAATTCGTCCTTTTTGTTATTCTGATAAGAGTTATTTTCTCTTTCGTATTAAGGCTGATGATAGGGATTGCGTCATAGCAAAGGAATGACCCCGACGAATAGATATTTGAGTGAACACTGATTCGTCGTATTCAATTGTTCGACCCCGACAAATAGGTGTGTTTTTATCTTAAATCTGTCGGGATTGACCCCGACGAATTACCACAGACTACGTTTTCTACCACAAATTGCGCGGAGCGCTACCTAATTTTTGACTTTTTGTCAAAACAAGTTTGATCTTGTCCTTGCATTTTTTGAAAGTTAGATTCACGTTTTTGGCTCTAGAATCCAAAATATCATGTTTCAAGTAAATCCAAGACCACCATGATGTTTCTCGTGCTCTGAGCTTTCACAAAAGGCCTCATTGATAAAAATTGAAGCCAAAAAATTTTTACGATCAAATTTTTAGCGCTCATATCTCGAAAACGACGAATGTTGGCAGCTTACAATCTATAAGATGAGCGCTTCCTCGGCCAGTTCAAGTACTGGGCGAGTGCTACTGAAGGTCG